CCATTATCAAAACGGATGCAAACAACAATAATCTTAATGCACGTTAAAAGGTACACATAAATTTTGAAGTCTCTTCTTCAGTACTCGAGTTACAAGTCTCAAACTTCAGATAATAGCCACCGTTGTTTGAAATATCTTCATATGACACTATGTCAGTTTGTCCCAATATAGAAACTAAGCTTATCAAACAAAAATCAATAGCTTTAGACTTGTTGCAAGAACACTGTATGATCCTCCCATATTTGAGCAGCATGCATTGTTTTTCATCAAGCTGCTGGTATGCCAACAGAAAACACCAAATCACAGCATTAGAATCATTAAGCTCGCCGCTTCCGATCATCATCCTCATCGTCATCAGAGTCGCCACTCTCCCGGAAACGTGGATTCTTCTCCTGTGCATTGAAGAAATGTCAAACTATAAACAATGGAATATTCTGTACATGTTTGCGAAGAAGCAAAAAATTGTATTCTCTTTCACCATTTAAAAAAACAAAGTTGCCAGTGTTATCAATACACTAAAAGTGATATATGCTTTCATTCTACTCTATTCTGCTGACCAAGAATTAAACCTAGACTACAGCTTATTAGATCCCCCTCATTAGCATCTGAAGCAAAATGGCATCATGGAGGCACAGTGGTAACTCAAATTTTCCACTTTTTAAGTAGTAAACCCATAATACAGCTAAAAAGGGTAAAAATCTTAAGATTGAAGAGGGAGGCAGTTAAGCATTTAACAAATACCGGTCTTGAGTCATGATCAGAATTTCTCCTAGATTCATGATCTGAGCTTCTCCTGGAGTTCTCATGTGCATGACGATCATCTTCGCGAAGTCGCTTTCGATGGTAATCTGTTTTCTCAGAAGCAGCAATCAAATAAGATTTCTATAGTTCTACTCAAAGATAGATTAAATATATTCAAATATGTGTAATAGAATTGGGATACAAGGAAGTAAAGGGAGGTACCTCTGCCATGCCTATGAGAACCCCCATGACCATGACCTCCACCATGTCTACCACTACCATCTGCAAAATTAAAATGTCAGAGGTGGGTTTGAAAAAAAAAAATTAAAGACAAGAACTTGAACTTTGATCCAATCAAAAATCATTCCTAGCGGCTGAATACCAAACCTAGTTGAAAACTATAGCTTACCAAAACTACTGGTGGTATATAGGACCCAAAGGCTTCCTAAGACACCTCAGTTAGGGAGGAGTTTTGGGACATGAAGTAGATACTAAAGGAAACTGAAAAAATTATAACCAGTTCATTGCATACATGTTTACACACAGTTTAAAAAGGTTAGATGGCTCTTAAAATGCCTGAACTTCCACTTCTAAAGTTTAGTTTTATGTTCTAACTTCTTGAATTTCTATTTCTCCTCTATGATGTTGAAAAAGTTTTACATTTTCAACTACAATTGAGTTTAGGGAGTAAAATGAATTAAAAAAATAATAATAGTAATAAATTGAGGATAGCATGTTCACAAAAACATACATCTTGACCCAGTATAAACAAACTTCCTAAGATCATTTTGCAACACACAGACATCCCACAGAAGTCACTTGAAAGAGAACCAAAAAAACTTCCTAATAAAAATCTTAGATTCTGTATTCCAGAAACTATTTGTCCTCAAATTAGTGTTCCACAATGAGGCAATATATTCAAGTGCCATAACAGTCAATAAAAACACTCGCAGTAAAGGTAGTTTTTCCGCTTAACAATATTAATAGGTCAAAATTTGACTAATACTTCTGAGTCTGTAGTCAGGCCAGGCAGGATTATATCTTGTCAAGTTCAAAACATTGAATTAGTAGTAAGATGGGTAAATGGCCCAATTTAACGTACACCCAAGACTGCCCCTACTTCTATAGAAATCGAAAAAGAATGTATGAGTCAAACACGGGAGTAATTCCAGCAAACAAGCAACTTGCTAACGACATTCCCAGTCTAAGAATTAAAATTCTACATATAATAGCTCTCAAAACTTACAATGATGGGGCATAACCGGTTGGAAAGAGTTCAATGAACCGGTACCATAATCTACAAGCTGTCTTTGTGCTTCCAACTCTCTTTGAACTAATTTTCCATAACCTCCTCTGCGTACAACATGTTAAGGAAACTGAAAACTGAAAGAGCATTCAACTTTTCAACTAACAACAATAATCAAGGGGGTAAAAAAGGCATCAAATTGAGGGAGCAAATTAAAGAAATTCCCCAAAAGGATGTTCCATAAGTAAACACAAAGGAAAAAGCAACAAAGTACCATGAGGAACATGACAATCCCTTAATCTTTAATATATGCAGACACATAAGAAACCAATTAACGCATTATAAGATGTTGATAGCATAACATCTGTAGCAAACCCTGGCCTAGTATAATAGTATATTGGGAAGACGGCATAAAAAATATCCAAGTGACATTATATGCTCATCTAAAACAGGAAGAACAAGTGTATCTCCAGCCAGTGACTAAACAGACAAAGTTACCGAGGAAACACAAATATTTGTTGAGACTCAAAGAAACCAATGACCAAGTTCAGGTAATATGATACACAGAGTCACAATATGTCACTAAAAGGATATCAGGATCGTAGTCGGTACGATATTCATCCCGAACCTGCAAAAATACAAGAATACACAGAGAATCAAATTAAATCAACCACAGAGGCAGACCACAGGCAATAATAAGTGGCAGGCACCGTAACTCACCTGCCCACCACTTCGACCACGACCCCATTGCCTTCCTTCTTGAAATCCCCAATCAAAATCCACTCGAATAGGACGGTCATCAAGAATTGTACCACTTATATATTTGACACAATCCTCAGTATCTTCTCTAGAGTAGTATCTAACGCACAAAGTTATACAAATATCAGCTTTGGTTAAACATTTAACAAATATCAAACTGCTTTCTACTACTCTGTCATCCATAACCCTATTCTTCAGAGAGGGTACTTATCAGTAAATCAAAATTCCATAAACGCTAACACCAAAGTTCTCTAGACATGGTTTACAAAATAAGCCCATCAGCTCATTCAGGTTAAAATTACAATTCAAGCTATGTATATTGTCATACTTACTAAAGCATACATGCAAAAGAAACAGTAAACGAAGCAATTTTTTTAACATATAAAAGAAAACAAATCACATTACTAACTTCATTTGAAACACAATAACGAAGAAGAGACTTACAAGACAAAACAAAAGCCACAAGGTGTTTTGCTGTTCTTGTCTAAACCCATAATAATCTTCTTAATTTCTCCAGTTCGTGAAAATAGCTCATAGATTTGCTCTTCCGTCGTATAAAACGACATGTTTCCGACATAAACAGTTGTTGACGTCAGCAACGCGTGTTCAAATTCCTCTTGTGTCCCAGGAAACCTTCTATCACGATACGCTGAAAGCTTCGTTTGATCCTACAGAAGAAAGCAAAAAACTGTAATTGGTTCGAAACCCAGTTGAAGTTGTTTGAAGAAAACAATGGAAGCTAAGACATTGAAGTTGATATTACCTTGAACAGAGAAGCCATTGAAGAGGAGAGAGTAGCCGAAGAGAACAAATGTCGGGTCAGAGTACTTGGGTCCGATTTTTTGTTTACTCAGGGATCTGTTTGGTAAGTGTAAATATTGTAACCCGGCAAAGCTTCTTTGTTAATTTGTTTTTATTTTCAGAAAATTTAGGTTGCTATTCATTATTCCATACTTCTCGTAATAATATTTTGAAAAACAGTAAAATTAGGTAATTATTACAAAGTAGAATTTAAAAATTAATAAAAATACCTTTCTAAATTTGTTAATTTACTAAATACCCCTTTAATAAAATATTAAAAATTAATAAAAACACCCCTATCTACCCATTAAATACCGGCAACTAGCCACCACCGTCGAAGGGTGATTGGAGTCGCTGTATCAGTGCATGGTCTGGCCGGTCGTACGCTAGAAAATGCCTAATCTATGGCTAGATTTGGCCATTGACGACCAGATCTGGCCGCGTTTGGTCGTCAACGATGGCTAAAGATATGACTGTTGTTGACGACTAGCTACAACCAAAGATCTAGCATTTTTTGACCAAATTTACCGCTTGGATCTGGCCGGTAGTACGTCGATCTAGCCTTTTCTGGTTAGATAAAAACTAGATCCACCGTGGATCTAGCCAGCTTGTTTCCTTTCCTTTGACTTGGCCTCTATCATTTTGAGTGAGCCAACCTTTATTGTATTGAACACGGAAACATTCTTATGAAAATGGGACCAGTTCACAAGTCCGCTTTTCGGGTGGTCAACAAAGGGAAGGAAAAGTGCTAAGGAACCCATCTTTGCACAAGGTAAGTAAATCCAACCAACTTGAGTTTTAAACAAGCTTTTTGTGTAGAGATGTATGCATGATTAGTATGTAGTATGATTGATGAGAAAATTGAATTGAGATGAGTAGCTATTTTTGTAGTTGTTGGATAGATTCCATGTATGAGAAGTGTTGTTGATATGTTGTGTATTGAGAATGGAGTTTGAGATGAAGTTTGAGAGATGTTGTGTAATCCTTTTTGGGAGTGCTTTTCTTGACAGGGATTATGAGTAATTGAGGGAGTTTTTCCCCAATTTGGGTGGCTAGAAAAATGAAGTTTAGTAGTAATTTTCGTAGGGTGGTTATATGCACATGAGATGTTTGAGGAAATGCCTAAGTGAAATCTGCCCTGTCACTGCCGTAACTTTCTAAGTAATTTTTGAGTATCTTACGGTTCGAACTGGGCTGAGACCAAAACAGAGAAGTTGTAGCCCTGTTTCTAAGCTTTGAAACGAGACCAGAACCGTAGTAATCCGAGGTGTATAGCATAAGTTATGGCCGTTTTAGTGTGACTGGTGCAGAATGACTGTTTTGAGGAAATCTTGTAGTTGGCATTTCATTAGTGCATTAGGGAGCATGAGATAGCTCTACACCTTTGTTTATACACTTGAGAAGTAGCTTGAGATTTAGTATAGAATGTGAGTATAAGTTCTTTAAGAGTTAAGAGAATAGAGTAGGTTGTGCGATGGGGAACCCGTGAGTAATGGGTAGAGTATTCCCGCATGTACGCCGCATTGAGAGCGCGGCATGAGTATCAGATAGAGAAGTGGTGTAGCCCGTGAGAGTGCATGCGGATGAGGGCTATACCCGAGTACCCGAGAGAGAGANACACACCTAAAGCTGACTCCTTTTGTAAAACAAGAAGACAAGAAACATAAACATCCAAGACCAAACCAAAGGCTCGACTTTGCAACATCTCTCCACATTATCAAATCAACAAACAAATGCCCGATTCGATCAAGATTCCCGTGACCACCATCATCCATTTCTAAATCCACCACATCACCATCAAACCAATCATAAATAAAAGAAGAATAAAAAGTAAAAATAAAGAATAAAAAATAAATGAAACCAAAAAAACAATCAAAGAATCATCAACACATACTTGGAGATAAACTCGAAGAAGGAACACAAGGGACCAAACTAAGCTTCTCTTTCTTTGACCGCACGCTATGCCTCCTTTTTCTTAGTTTCCCAATCTCATCCACTAACCCAATATCTCTCTCTTCCCTCATTATCTCAATCTCCGATCGTCTCCTTAGCCTCCGGTTATTCCTCGGAGACCCACAACCGGATATGCCCATTTGAGCTCCTCTTGTTTTGCATCTCCTACGAGACCCAGTTGATTCCAGAGCCACCTCCTCAGCCGCATCAAGACGATCAGCTAAACGGGTTCTTGATTTTCTCAACGGAGAAGGTGAGAGTAGGAGTAATTCTGGGAGAGGAAGAGCGAGAGATACCGAAGAGGGTTTCTTGGGAGGAGATATGAGGTCTAGAGAAAGATGTGGCGGCTCTTCAGAGCTCATTCTTGCGAGGCGCGAGGCTGATTTGGTTTGAGAACTGGGGTTTGAATCCATTGATTTTGTGAACTGAATTGAACTGAACTGAACTGATTAAAGACAAAATATTTTGAGAGGATTCTGCGTTCTTGAAAAAAAATGTTTTAGTAGTGCATTCTGATTTGTGAGAAATTGGTGGGATTTGAATGGATTGAGTTAAGAAGGAATTTTGGCTTTGAGGGAAATTTGATAATAATGGTAGGAGCCGTTAGAGAGAGAAAAGAGTTTTTTTTTAATTTCTTTATGTGAAGTTTGAATTTTTTTTGGCGGCGGGGACAGAGGAACGATGAACTTCAACGGTAAGAAATTGAAGGCCGTTTGATTTGTGCCGTTTGTGGGCCTTTTTTACTGTTTAGTGGGGTGCCATTTGTCAACCTCGGAACTTGGATTCTGTTGTAGGCTTTTGTAACTAATAAGTGACGAGATAGGTTACTTTGGATGGTTTAATAAAAGGGCGAACAACAAGTTCCCACGCAAGGTTTGGCCTAAGGACCGGTTGCCACCCGAAAAGTTTTAAAATGACAGAGTCCACCTATCCATCCAATTTCTCTGTTAATTTCAACTGCAGAAGGACAAAACAGTAAATTTAGTTTATTTTATTTTTAAAATTTGGTAACCCTACAAGAATGCTTCACTAATCCTCTACATCATTTGATGAATGCTTTCTCAATTGATTTACAAACCCCCCGATATCAGTCTCCTGTAATTACAACTCAAATTATCATCACGCTTTAAACTTTAATCATTGAACAAGAACAAAAGCAAAAATTTTCCCAAAAAAAACCGACTTTAAAGCTTTGAATGTTATATCCATGTTTGCCAAACTTTGAAGTAGATTAATCGGAGAATCTTCATACTGAAAATCAAAAACAGGATCAAACTCATCTCATAAAATTCATAAAAACAAAAACTTAAAATGAAAAAAAATAAATAAATAAAGAAACCAGGTCAGGATCTTCAAGATGTTCTTTAATTTCAAGAACTCCTTCCTGTTCATCGCAAACAAACCGTTATAAGGATCCACATCATCACCATGATCATCAACAGAACGGGGCGTGTAGGGTAATATGTGGCCTTTATTCAAGCCTTCATGTTCAATCTCCTTCTCAATCTTAATGTCAACTCAATTAACCCGATTATCTCCCCCACCACCGAAGTCGTAGTTTCGATAGCGCTTGGAAATACACGTGTTCGCTTAGTCACCTCTTCCCCTGAGCAAAACCCATCTCAAACACACCACCAAACTTCAATTCTTTCTCAACACACAACAATCATCAATAAAAAAAAATCATATCAAAAAAGCAATCAAATAAAAAAGTCTTCTCTTGGCCAACTCGGTTTTGACTCAGTTTGGCCGGCAATTGAAGCTTCTTGGCTGCACAAATCAAGCCAGCATGTGTCTCTTGCATTGCGCCTTTGGCCAATGCAAGAGCCTTAGGTTTCGGCCAGATCTGGCCAACAGCGGCCACTGCCAGAGTGAGGAAAGATAAGAAGAGAAGAAAAAGGAAAGGGAAGAGAGAAAAGGAAGCAAGAAATGAAAAGAGAAGGGAAGACATAAAGCGGCCTGGTGCGATTGAAAGAGGAAAGATAAGAAGAGAAGAAAGAAAGAAGAAAGAAGGAAAGAGAAGAAGAAAATAATTGGGCTTTTGTTTTTTAAGTTTATATATTGGGGGATAAAAGGACATAATTATCCTTCAATTATTTTCTGAAATTATCATTCTATCCTTCTGCAGTTGAAATTAATGGAGAAATTGGATGGACGGGTGGGAAACTGTCGTTTTGAAACTTTTTGCGTGGTAACTGGTCGTTAGGCCAAACCTTAGGTGGGAAGTTGTTGTTCACCCTTAATAAAATAATAACATTAAAGTACGCTTTATTTACCTGATATTCACTACAGACTTGTAGCTTTCTCTCTTAAAAGGAATTGTTTTGCAAGCCTTTTTTACTTAAGGATTTTTGTATTAAAAAGCAAAAATTTTTATCTAGTACCTGATGAGTGATGAACTGATGATAACAAAATTATCCAAAAATAGATTCTGAAAGATAGCTAGCTAATGGTAATGGGCATTTTTCCAGAATATATATTCTCTTTTGGATTTGTCTGACTAACAATATGCAAATATTAGTGGATTAGGGTCTCATCATCTTATCAAATCAACAATATGGATTCTGAAGTATTGCCCATCATCTCATCATCCATTCACGAATTTGTAAATATCAACTTTACATAAGTTGTATTATTCTCTTTCGAAGATTAGTTGAAGTGTACGTAAATTAACTCGAATATCATAACTAAAAAAAAAAAAAAAAGTAAAGTTTACATAAATAATTTAGGGTTGTTATGCCATAAAATTTCTGATATGTGATTCACGTCACATATCCTTGCAATTATATAAACTTGAATATTGTGCTATCACCTAACTGGCTCCCTTAAAAATCAAGTTGTCATCAACAAAGGGCCACTTGGCACAACGCCAAGAAGTCATAAGAATTTGAGAAAGAAACAATTGCTACGCTTTGCAATTTTTTCAAGCCCGCAAGTAGATAATCATTTCATTAAAAAAGCAGCTGTATATAAATTGACCATTGATACGCATTGAAGAGGGACAGATAAAAACTGGGTGTACATTCGATTTTAGCCATTATTCTCAATCTTTGTATCCTTATGAGCGATATTAAAAAAATAATCAAAAAATAATAAAATAATAATAGATATAAGACTTGCTTATAGCACTTGAACCACTCTTTTATCAATCTTTTATTTATGTTTTTTCAAACATATAATATCATTACGTTACAAATACTTTCATAATCACCTCACATATAGATTCGTAACAGTTTGCATATACTTATTTTATTGATATCAAAATCGCACATCAACAAAGGTTATATACTATGCTATTGAATGTGACTGAGTTAATTTATATTGGTACTAGGATTTTAATTCAAACCAAACTAATAAACAACATTAATATAATAATATTACTCATTAATTGCATAACCATTCAGTGTCAAACATTTGCCACCAATTGAAGTTTATTTTAGTAGACAAGACACCAAATATTTTGATTTTCGCTTGATTATGTTGAATCAAAACGCGGGGACACCAAATACAGGATCCTGGGCCCAACTGCCCGACAGATTTTTATTTTTGCCTGGCATGCCTCAGGCAGAAGCTCTTTATCCTCTCAATCCCATCTTCAAAGAGTTTCTACATCAAGGGCAAAACATAAGCGAAGCCAATTCTTCAGTCCCACAATCACCCCTGCAAATATTAATAATGTGCTTAACTCTAATTCCTCAAATTACATCTACTGTAGATGTGGCATTTCATAGCAACCATTAGATGATTTCCGATCATAATTCAACAGAAGTAAAAATGAAATCATAATTCTACCAAAACAAGAAAGGAATCAAAGAATTGAAGTGCTCTCTTTATTGTTCACCTGGCAAAACAATCACGGATTCCTCCTTAGCTAACTTGAAACAGAAGTCCACATCGTCATCAATACCTTGAAGATACGACACGTCCAACTTCGCCTGGAATTGATAAACAAAATATAACCTCAAATAATTTATCAATGTAATGTTAATTGTAACAGCTTCATTACAGTTACAGACTCACCATTAGAAACACAGATCCTGCAGGTTTTGTTGGGCAAGTAATGCAAGGATTCTCTTTAATTCTCTCACAAAGAATTTCTGAATTTTCTCAGAGCAGGTTAATACTTTTAAAGAAGAAATCACTTTCTGTTTTCTCAAGGACTTCCGGAAGTGCGGCCTGTTAATTGCATTAAACATGTTCAAATGCAAATGTACAAAGTATGAACAAAGAAAAGCATGACAATCAAACTATGATGACTAATAAGTCTTCTGAATCTAAGTAATATTATTTGTCTCTTATTGAGTACCTGAATGAATGTTACGGGATCGGAGATGATATTGAGACAAGCCTTTAGGTAATCCGCAATCTGTGAGGGCATTAAAATACAATTGGTGAACTTGCCTGAATATAAAAACTGAACGAAATAGAGAAGCAACAGGAACAAAATAATAATAGTTAAACAAAACAAACAGTAAACAAAGAAAGTAATACGCGCGATTTACCCTGGTTCATCCAATGTGGGCTACGTCCAGCTGAGTCAATATTATTGCAATATGCCTCACCTCTCTCGTTTACAATGAATGAATTGTTCTCACACCCATAACAAGAGAAAAGTATTTTTATATACTAGGTTTAAGAGATTAAACCTAGTTTTACAAGAATTCCTATTCCTAAGCCCAACCCAAAAAGGAATTAATAACTTAAAAGGAATCCTACAGCGGTTATACATGGAAAAGCCCAAAACCGCCTACAGCGGGACTCCCGAGTGCGTCTCCGTTACCCATTAATGCTGAAGTAGTCGACAACTCCAACAAAAACTAGTCTAAAGATGCAAGGAGAGAGAGAAAAGAAGAACCTTTGATTTTTGGAGGTTGCCACTGGGATCACATGTCAGAGGCCAACCGAGTTTCCAACCAGTAACAGCCCATCTCTTTGATATGGAACCAAGAGTAATAACAGGAACAATTGGTGCAAAAACTCACACGCGCACAAATGATTTACTTCCAAAAGTGAGATGACCATAGACTTCATCTGTAATCACCAGAATCCCAAGCTCTTTTGCTGTCTCTGCTATCCGAAATTCAACAAAATTCCACTATGAGAACCAACAGTACATGATAAATAAAGAGCATAATGTGCATTGATGATCAAACCTTCTTCAAATGGTCATAGGAGAAAACATTCCCACATGGACTTCCTGGGTTAATAGTGAGAATACCAACAGTATTCTCATCTGCAGGAGCTTTAACACCATCAAGATCCACTTCCCAGCCTTTTTCAGGAAGAAGATCATAGTGACGAACTTCAAGGTGGCTAAATGCACAACGAGCATCATAATTTGGGAAACCTACTCTAGGCAGCAAAATATTGGCAACTGGATAAGCAAAAACTGTCACAATGATTTCCATCGCCTGGGCACAGCCTGATGTGATATAAACATCTTCTGGAGATAACTTGTATGGAAGGTCTCGGGATAGATAATCAGCAACAGCCCTACTCATCAATAGATTTATATAATTCGGAACAAGCTTGGAAACATTCAACTTCATACTATAAGAAATTATGTAGTTAAGCTACTTTCTAGCAGGAAGAATACCAAGAAATGGGGCCTAACAATTGAATTTAGCAGATTGAAGAGCATCGACAACTGCTTTTTCAACTGTGTGACTGGTACGAATGCTAGACAAAGCACGAGGGTCACCATGGCTAAGTGGAATAACAAGCCTTTGATCTGCTTCATTGACACTCTGCCTCAGCTTACTCAGGGTGCCTCTGACGGTGACAGTTATATCTATACCTGGGTTCAGTTCTTCATTTACTCTAGAACTCCATTTCTTCCACATTTTCTCCATATGTTTCCAGTTCTTCCTTTAGATATTTCCCTTGAAATCAGTAAAGACTCTTCCTTATTGGGTTTGAGCTTAGGAATATGAATCCTTATAAAACTAGGTTTTGTCACTTTAAACCTAGTATATAAACATATTTTTCTCCTATTATGAGTGTGATAGCAATCATAGGACAATTTATTCATTATAAACGAAAGAGATGAGAAAGTATTACAATAATATTGACTCAGTTGAACGTAACCCATATTGTCCGTGATTTGTTTTATTGTTATGTTGGTTTCATTGTTCTCTCTATTTCGTTCACTTGATACGAGGTTTGGTGCAGGGAGCTACTAAGTGCTAACCACATATGGCCAGATGACTAATACAAGATTCTTTTCTACCATTAAAACTGACGGAGAGAGAACATGGAATTTAATCTTTCATTGAGCTGGTCTTGTGTCAAAACTACATTGGTTTAAAGTTGACAGTAGTTTTTCTCTGCTTTTAGATTTGTTGACCCTATACAAATTGTCAATCCACTTCTGACCCATATCCAAGTTCACTAGGCTTGACCCTATCTAATCATATCTTTAAAACTATGTGCACATTCTGTTCTGCACGAAACTAGATTGTTTTGTTGTGTTATCCTTAGTAGGGAAATAGATCTTTCTTGCAAATTACATTTTGAGAGGCTGAAAGCTTGTCAGTATGTAAGATTTGTTGTCATGACACTTTTGAAATCTACTCTATTTGGGTGGCAATTTATAAGCCAGGACCTCACTAATGCATCTGGCATCACCGTTAAAGGGGTGGTGATGAAGTTAACGGACAATATCAACAAAGATGATCCACGACACACCATTACTTAGGCCATGGCAACCCCTCCACCTTTCCCAGCTTTTTGTACTGCTGCTGTAGCCGAAGATGCCGTTGTTCATGCCCTCCGCTCCGCCAATTATAATTGCTATTCACCCACTACTGGTGTTCTCCCTGCTAGAAGGTAGATTTAACAGTTTAGGCATGAGCATATGCTGATTTAAGTATGTTTTTGTTGTGAGTTGGATAGATATTATACTAAAATATTTTTTTTTTTAAAGATAAAATTGTATTGTTTTTCTAGTGATAAGGTAAGTGAACGCTATTTGTTTATTGACTGTTGTGTTCGAAGTTTTTTGTGATATGTTTGTAGCTAAGTCAGAAATACTCATATAGATAGTCCAAGAATTGAACGTACACTCAAAAACACACATATCATTAATTTTGGAAGGTTAGATACAATCTCAGTGATTAAAAGATTCATTAATCAAACGGAGGAGATTATAGAGTCGTTGNAAAAAAAAAAAAAAAAAAAATGAACTTTATATCTTGTCCACTCGTTACTAGGCAAGACAAAAATAACAACTTTGATGAACAACGACCATTACAGACTGCAAAGTAAGTGAATGGACAAATGGCCCTACCTAGGAAGAGATACATGCTTTCTTTCAGGTGGAATTACTGGCCCACTTTTACCAATATTCTCTTCAAGATGTGCAAACTGCTTTCTAAATTGATCAACAGCACTGTAAAAAAAAATGGACAAAAAGTCAGGATAATGCAGAGACCCAAAGATTATGAACGCAGCTCAACAAGATCAAAACCGAAAAGCATCAACCAAGAAAAGTATAACCTTGGGTAAAGGAAATTTGTTCTCTCAGTTCCATTTATGTAGTCCTTGAGCAACTGAGGATGGTATTCTAATATCTCCCGGAAAATTAGCTCTCGGATATCCTCCTTTGTGACCCTCCGCCTCTCAAACTCAAACTCCATCTTTGAAATTGGCTGACAAGAAGGCTCCCTCTCAACTTTAGCCAGTCCTTTGAAATAAGGATCTGCCAGTGCCTGAAAGAACACCAAACCAAAACATTTATAATCCACCAAAACAAACAGACCATATTTAGTAAATTCTTCTAATCTAATAACAAACCTCTTCAGCAGTTGGCCGGTCTTTTGGATCAAAGGCCAGCAACCTTTCCAACAGTCGCAGAGCCAAAGGATCTGCATTTGGAAATTTTTGTGCAAACTGCACTGGCTGCTTTTTCCTCATGCTAGTTAAGTATCTCCTAGCCTTGTCGTTTCTAACCTGCAAAAAGAAAAAAAAAAAAAAAAAATATGAATAAGACAAGCATTTTCATGGGACTAGGACCAGCAAGACGATGCTAACAATGGGACTAGGACTAGCAAGACGATGCTAACAAAAGAATAATTTGAATACCCGAGAGATAGTATCTAATGAAGGTGTGCCAAGCAGATCTGTCATTAAATCCAACTGATGAACAACATTTTTTCCAGGAAAAAGAGGCTTCCCGGTTAACACCTCTGCGAATATGCAACCGATGCTCCATACATCAATTGCTGGTGTGTACTGCATCCACATGCCATCATACATTAAAACTCTCAAAAAATGGAGATTTTAAGCCACAAAGGAAGAAGAATTAAATTTCCAAAAGTTACCAGAGCAAGAACGCATTAAACAATATTCACATAAAATAAAAATATCATAAAAATATTGATTTTGACTGCAGGTTTCCCATCGCACCAGACAATGAACTTAAAAGAGACATATACTAGATAACTCAATCAAATGTAACATCTAGCTAGGCACTCAACTACTTTAATTATACAAACCAAGGGACATCATACAACTGTCATTAACCCCAATGTGGGTTCTAATTCTTCCAAAGCCATGTTGAGATGATTCTAAAAGTTACTCATCTCCAAACACATAATATGCACACCTAGAAGTTATGATAGGCCACTCAGAGCGCAAGTATACAACACTGAGCCCGTTGCACACTTTTGATTATAAAGCATCAGACAATTATGTATCAAGTTTACAGCGTCAATAAATTCGAAACAGAAGCAAAGCCATACCTTAGAAAAAAATGATCCACAGAGCTCTGGAGCTCTATACCATCTTGTAGCAACATAATCCTGTAAATGCACCACAACTGCAAAGTAAGTTCCCATAATTTTAAAAAATAAGATACTTTATACAACAAATATTTTGTAAGATATTAATGTAACAATCATCACAAATCTAACATCTATCAAAGACATACCGTCCAAAAAATTGTAGTAGGTGTGTCATTAAATGCAACTCTTGCTAACCCAAAATCACAGATTTTCAGTTTACAGTTTGCATTGGCCAATATATTCTTTGGTTTTAAATCCCGATGGTAGACATTTGCTGCAATGAACTACATAACATTAGATATGTACCACCTCCCTCCCCAAAAAAGGTGGAGAAATTGGGAAAATAGAAGAAAACAAAGCGAATATAGAATGACAACAATACATATTATCCAAGTTGAGGGGGCTGGCAAGCATATATAGAGAAAAGCATGTTCACAGAAATAAAGGCAAATGCAGTTTGCAGAAATAAAGGCAAATGCGGTTGTCAGACATAAGGGCAGTAAAACGGATTGTTCTGTCTAAAATAGTACGGCAGGAAAAATAATATCATGGTGATGTCTTTTGAACTAAAACTTATGCATCTACATTTATTGCAATTAGTCGCCCCCATTTTTGGGGTTAACAAAGATCAAGAAAAGCCAAAAACTTGATAGAGTGACAACATGAGTTACAGGGTGAATATACCTGTATGAATATACTTTAATGCACGAAGGAGCTGGTAAAGGAAAAACTGATAGTGTTCTCGTGTCAAATCATCATTGGCTTTAATGACTTGATGGAGATCTGACTCCATGAGCTCAAAAACAACATAAATATCTTTAAATTCCCTTCTAGAAGGTGGCAGCATAATGTGTTTTATTTCTACAATATCAGGATGCCGTAAAAGTCTGAGCAGCTTTATCTCCCGAAGAATACGAGCAGCATCAGAGATGTGTTCGAAAATATCATGTATTTTCTTAATTGCCACTTTTTCACCAGTATGCGTGTCAATGGCAGAGCAAACAACACCATAACTTCCTTTCCCAATAACTTCCTGAATTTTGTACCTATTAGCATCACCATACTCGGAGAAGAACTCCATCTCTGAAGAATTCTGGAAATAGAAACACAAGTCAGGCTAGCATACCAACACATACCAATTAAACAGATTAGTAAGCACATGTATATACAAGTACACAGTTACATAGTCTCTTAGGGTAAGATTCATGCAGATACTGTATAAGCAGGTTAAAAATTGACAATGATACTTCTCTTGCGTCGCTAAAATATAATAATAGCGTTAAAAAGCATACCAACCAGATGCTACCATTGTGAATACATTTTTTTTATAAATCTAACATGTAAAAATACAATATAGGAATGAGAATCTTGCTTTCCATGTTACATTAATTGAATCCTCTTTAAATTTTCTCATGATATAGCAAGTATGGCATTAAGTAGAAGATAATACATGGTTAAAAAAGTAATCAATATCAATATTGTTAATTGGGTATAAATCATTTTAGGAAAAAAAAAAACTTGTAAGAAAATATACATTTAAAGCTCAAATACATGGTTAAAAAAGTAATCAATATCAATATTGTTAATTCGGTATAAATCATTTTAGGAAAAAAAAAAACTTGTAAGAAAATATACATTTAAAGCTCAAAGATGTATATAGGGAAGAAGAACAGGGGAGGCTCCCAAAAGAGAAAAAGGAAAAAATACAATAAATATGGAATTTTCCTTATGCAACTTATACCGCTGAAATCAATGAGTTCTTACATGTACCCGTTTACATCTTCTCCTCCAAAAACAAGAAAACCTTAAAGGGTTTCTCTCAGTTTATTAAAAAGTTGTCCAATTCTCAATTATTTTATGAACAATGAGATTATAATGTTCCTTTGGTTTAACTTTGATCGCGTAAATCAGAAAACAGTAATTTATCAAGTCCCAACAAATGCAAGCAGTTATAACCTTAGAATTGTTTGGATACGCGTAATTTATCCCTTTCAAAGAATCAGAACACCAAGAAAAACAAAACAAACCGAAAGCGTAACAAGGAGAGAGAATCAGGGCCGATGCGATCATAAACAAAAAATGAAATAAATCCGAATTGAAATAAACCAATCACAAAGGAGAGTATAGTGTAATGATAATTAATTAATACCTTCTTGCGTTGATCTTGCTGCATAATTTAATTTGAGAAAATAAACAAAAAGATGAATTCAAATCAACCGCATTTGCCCCGTCTTTCCCCGCTTCTGATAACAAGGCCACAGTCCCACCACAGTCCTTCCTCATACACACTTGGCTCCCAACGAAATTACCATCGACAACGACTAACATAACACAACATAAAATCAATCACCACAACAACTTCTGTTCTTGGATCTTGAACCAGCTATTGCTTTTGCTTTTGCTTTTCAAGGTTGCCGAAGAGTGTGGGAGCTGCAAGATCTCCAACACCGACAACGTGAAGAAGTTTTAGAGAAAGAAAGAAGGGTAGGAGTGGGAGAGAGAATAGTAATATTTACGGCTTGTGGCATGAATCTGGGGATATATAGAGTTTTACTGCATTTTTCTTTTTCTTGTGTTGTCTGACTTGGCTTATCGGATAATGTATAATATTAATATACGGTATAATGTGACTCCAAACGCTAGTGGCATATCATGTAATTATGATGGTTTTTTAGGTTGGATATGTAGGGGGATTCTAGGAGGTAGTACACGTGTCGTCTACTTATGCCAAAGAGTTGGGCTCAGTTTGACACGTGGAAAGTTAAAGGTTTGGAACCAATTATGGTGAGCACACCTTATCATTCTGAATTTATAGATGCATGGACGTTAACTAATACTTAGGATTCGTTGAATGTTCTATAAACTAATTCGTAGTATCTATTAAATATTTTACAAATCAAAATCTCAAAGTTTAAATTTAGAAACTTAAAAATTAAATAAATTTTTTTGACCATCAAACTAACTCCATAAGGTTAATAATGTGAAGAAATGTTAATTGTAGGGCAAAGTGGGCATCAGGTTTTCATTGTGAACAACATGGCAAAAGTCTACAAACCAGCGCATGTATAAAATAATAATTAATTAATAATTCACCAAACTTTGTAACATTCTTTTAATCTCACCGCCGTCGCTGCCTGAAAACCATCTCCACACCAAACCCTGCCTTCCAATTTTGACGTTTCATCCATCTCAATTTGACTAATTTAAACCATTATTTTCGGGTTATGCATTGCAAACAGACCACTGCGATCCAATTTCCTTCAACGTAAAGTTGCTTGGTGTTTCTCTCTCTCTCTCTCTCTGGGTATATAATGTTACTATCTCCGCTGCTGATCAAGTTTTTAAGTACAACAGGTTGTGGTTATAAACTAACAGTCAGGAGTGAAGGAAATGTAACGTTTGTTGTTGTTCGATTCTCGTCAACATTATAGCGGATTTCTTTGAACTTTTCCATACCCTACTTGTTTTTTATTTTTATTTTTTGGATAGCAATAAGATTAATCTTTTCAACTAGTAAAATGCCTTGGACCAAATTTTAACACACACACACACACACACAAAAAAAGGTATTTGGTAAGAATGGATTTTCAGTCGATATCCAATAACCAAGAAGGTAGGTAATTTGGTTGAATGTTATTATTATTCAAATTTGGTTGAATGTTATTATTATTCAAATTAGGAGGCGAATTGAGACAGTTAAGGATAACTTAATTGTTAGTTAATCCGCCCGAGTTGATCTTGGTCAAGGACCCAACTCACCAAAGTTATCAACTAATTTAAGAAATTTCAAGTCAAAATGTCAAATAATAATGATAAAAAGATAATTCTATATGATTGAAATAAATTCGACCTACACAATCATATATACATAATTGATTAAGCTGTAATTCTTTGTTATATTAATGCTATTCTTTATTATTACGCATATATAGCTACGTGTTACTTGTTGCGTTGTCAAAGTCATTGTTATAAAGAATTCGAAGTGACTTTAAAAATTAAAAAAGATTTTGAACTTGTCATGGTTATGTCTTGACTTGGATGAATATATGTAAATTATATTGTGAAAAAAAGGAACAGGTTTGAGGATTCTGCCTTGTGAATTTCATTGCATGCTCTATCATCTTAAAGTAATGACTTGAAAACCAATCGATGAAGACAAATAAAATGTCTCAATCCAACACAAATATTCATATCTTCATTTGCCAACGACTACCTTCCACTATTAAATACCTAGCATCTTCTCACTTATTCCGATAACCTTATCAAATCTTAATAAGAGTTTTAAAGAAGATCACACACACCCACTATCATTAAAAGTTTCCTATTAAAGTTGACAGATAATCCCACCGGTTATCTGATGATAAATAAACAAAATGAGGTTTTATGAGTTTTTGAGTTTGAGTATCTCTCTGATATTAACAGGGGTGAGTGGTCATTAAAGCTCTTATCCGATCAATAATTCCAAGATCTCGAATGATTAGTTAAGGTGCACGTATTAGTTAGTCCGGACACTCCTGGTGACACATCGAGGTTATCTTGTTAGCTTTTCAATCGTCCAACTCTATAACTCTCCAAGTGTATTATAAAACTAATACTAGCATATTAATTCCAATCCAAGCTAGCTAAATTATTTATTATCAATAACATGCTACATGACTATTATATGGTTAAGTTTAAAACATAGAAATGAATTAAAGTAGGTCCTTTATGTCATTACCAAATAATGTAAAACCTTTAGCATTCGACCCTTTACTTTTGATTCATTTTATATTTGAATATATTTTGAGTTGCTTTCAATCAAAAGGCTTTCATAGCATAAGACAAATTATATAATTGAGGACCAAATTCAAATTCATTATCAGTGATTTTTAAATATTATTTTATAATGTAAATTCCCTTTCTGACTTTGCCTTTTTCGTGGGAACACCACATTTCAATTATGATTAAATAAATACTATTACCCACTAAAACGGCAGGATTAAACATATCAAATTTCAAAGGTGAGATCCTTTGTCACTGTCTTTCAATCATTTACATATTTTTATTTATATAAAATAAAGAATGATAGCCCTTTCGTAATTCATTACTTGTTTTAGAAAACTTTGCCTTCCTGAATGCTGTTTTGATATGTATATATCATTGCATCGATCCGTTGTTTTCATAATGGTCACTAATCAAGTAGGACTGAAATTGCTTTAATTTTCCATTATTATATTGTTATTATTAATTTTGTTGCTCCTCTAATATAACCATATTTATTATTTAATATGATAAGTGTTATTATCAAAATAACAAGTGATCTAAGAGAAATGACATTTAGAAACCACATTTAATCTTGTTGGTAGTGCCAACTTTTATTAGCCAGACACACCATCACAAGCATGCCAACTTTTTTTTTTTTTTTAAATATATATACAATAATCAAGATATACGTGTAAAGGAAAAGTTAGTGATTCATTCGATTTAATTTACTTTTAAGATACTTGAGAGGCATGCTAATATTTTTCTTTTTCCAAAAAAAAAATCAAGGTATATACCAAAGCAACAAAATAAAAGGCTTTGATCATATAGTGAAGATGAGGCCACGATGTCTGCTTTCCTTAAAGCTTCAATAATGTTATATGTCTGGTGAGTATATGGGACATCTGTAATTAAGTTGGCACTATTTCCACTCCTTATTTAACATTATTTATTTCTGGTTATATATCTCATCCAACTTTTATATATATATATATATATATATATAAACAAAACAAATGATGGACCATGATCAAAATTATGAATACGAGTACGTGGGGTGATTTGTTCCAGTTTTATTATCTAATAAACAACTTTAGTAGATAACAAATGAAAGGTGGATTTGCATGCAAAGTCTTCAGTAGTAAAAGCCAGAGCCATGGACCTTCAATTTTTTAGCCATATTAATGAACAATGATTTCCTCATTCATTTCAGGTAGTAAAAGCCTGGATTAATTTAAAACGGATAATATTTATGGATATATGTTACTTACAAGTTTTCTACAAATCAACCAAGACATATATTTATAAACTAATTTCAATACAACCAAAAGCTTATATTATCAATCATATATAACTCAGCCTGTTGGCCAAACACGTTGCCAATGCCAATCATAGGCTTGGAAACTTCTATCGGATAGACACGGAAATTTTATTTAAACATCCGTTTATGCACGACGTGTAAGATATATTTTACAAGTGAAAATGAAACTCAGGGGACCATGTAAAAACGTGTATCACATTGTTTTATCATTATACAACAGGTTAAAATGGTGGTGAAATAGGCAGTTCCCATTTTATGTAATGATCAAGGATTCTGTTATGCCTAAAAAATCAAGGTTGACACAAGCTTATATCAGCAAAGACCAATCAGAGTTTAGGAAGGTATTGTGCCGTCCAGACGCTGCCACATCATCTAAGGATAAAAAGAGTAAGACTGTCATCAGCTTGGCAGGTAAAGGCCTGGCGAGTGAGTGGTTGAGAGTCACCCATTTGCCCAAGCCCTGCGTGATTTAAGGATATCTTCCGTACAACCAGCTAATGAGAAGCAGGGTAGGAACTGTACGGCACCTGCCTGCTGGCAGACTGTAATCATTACCCAGAAACCTTTTACTATAAATAGAGAGCTCCCCTCTCATTTTTAGGGATTTTAATTCTGATAACAAAAACACTCACTCTCCCTCTCTGTATTTCTATTTCTTTGATCACTACTTGCGACCTGATTGTAACCTTTTATTTATAAAAAAGACAGTGGACGTAGAATTCGCTTTGAACATCCGAACCCTTTTAAAAATCATCTTCCATTTTATTTCCTTTCATTTCCATTTTACGTGTAATTCCTAAGTCACCTTAGCGCTTTGCACTTGCGAATAGTTGGTGTCAAAATCCAGCACCAACAGTTTGGCGCTAGAAGGAGGGTCTGATTTAGTATCCACTCTTCATCAGGAATCTCTGATCAATCGATTCTGTTCACTCGCAAATGGCCCATGGTTTTGAAACCGAGTGAGCTAGCCCCAACAACGAGGAGGTGCCCCGGGTACAGGATGACACTTCTCCTAAAGTGCCCCTGATCAGCATAGTACCGCGACAGACATTCCTTCGAGCTCATAGCTCGACCCAACAGTGATGGATTACCTGGAGAGGTTCAATAATACTCTCCAAATGGTTAACCGAAGGTTAGACCGTTTGGATTAGGTCATACCACCCGAGTCCGATAAGGTGGTGCCATCGCCAAAAATGTCTGTAGGTCACGCTAAAGCGCAGAAATGAGCGAAGACTCATGCCGCGCGTATTACAACACGTAAAGGCAAGAGAAAGCAGGTGGTAGATAGTGGGCCGAAGGGCTCCAAGGGACCAGCAAATACTGGCCGTGAAGCAGGTAGAATACCTATGGCTTTGCGACTTGGCAATATGTCGCATCATGAACCGTCCCACGCCACATTGCATGGGCACCCCCACAAGAGTGCAATGCAGGGAAACTCCTAGCAACTGCGGGTCGATTCTGACCACC